ACACCCCATTAACCAGCTTAATTTCTCTGGTTCATCAGTAGAATCACTTCCATACAAATATCAACTTCCTTGCCTTTCTTTCCCTCTGCTGCTCTCACCTGACAGAAACCCAACCTTGGATGAACCCAACATATACCTTCTTCTTGTCCATGCCTGTGCAGCTCTACATTGCAGGAGAAAAATCAATCGACTCATGTCTTGAAATTCACGGTCATCAATCTCAGACAAACCCTAAGTACTGCCCAGCAACTTTTCACTTTCTCTCTCCCACACCCATAATTACCATTCCATACCTTTACTTGCTCCTCAAACCTCCCATTCTTCCTTCACACTCATTTTCGCAGGTGACCCTGAATCAGCTTTGTTGAGAACCTCTTTGTATCAGTTAAGCAACTCTTGTTTTAAAACAGGATTTCTCAACACTATTGACATTGAGGTCGAGCAAGGCTTTGTTGTGGGGGATTGTTCTGTGTATACAGGATGTTAGCAGAATCCCTGGTCTCTATGCACCAGATGTCACTAACACCCATTGCCAGTTGACAACCAAAAATATCTCCAGACATTGCCAGATATCCATTGAAGAGTACAGTCTCCCCTGATTGAGAACCACTGGTTTAAATCCACAGAAACCAATTCCAGCTGGAGATATATTGAGAGGATAATGGAATAACTCACAGACAGACCTTGAGTAGTATACAAATCCCTGGGGCTGGAGATCTTCGGCCTTCTTTCTAGAAGTTGTCATTAGGTTATTTCCTTCTGTCTTTGGGTGTTCCTGATTTTCAAATTCTCAAGTTTCAAATTCTCAGTAGGAAGAATCTAAGTCCTGTTTAGGTCAGGTGTTCACTCCTATATCCTGGAGAATAGGGTCTGTGACTAGAATAAAGCTAGGAAGCGGTATTCAATAGGAAAAAAGTAATAGCCACCATACTCCCTTTGTATTCTGTGTCTACATTCTGCTAAAGTGACATAGAACTGACTACAAAGACTTCAGTAAATTGGAGTTTATTTTTCTATGATAAAGAAATATATCTGGAGGTGGCAGCTTTTGGCCTGTATTCAGCTGCTAAGTAATCACAGCCTCTCTGCATTCCTCAGCTCTGACTTTTCATCTTCCAGCTTATTGCCTCAGGTTGAAAGACAGCTAGCACACTTTCTGACATCATGAACCATGACCATATTCAGAAATAGGAAACAGGTCATGCATTGTGGCTTACACCTGCAATTCCAGGGCTTTGAGAGGCCAGGGCAGGAAGATCACTTGAGACCAGGAGTGCGAAACAAGCCTGGGCAACATAGCAAGACCCCCATCTCTACCCTCTCCAAAAAAAAAAATTAGCTGAACATGACAATGAGACTCCATCTCTACCAAAAAAAATTAATTAAATACAGAAATTAGCCAGGTGTGGTGGTGTGCACTTGTAGTCCTAGCTACTAAGGAAACTGAGGTGGGAAGATCACTTGAGCACAGGGGCTTGAGGTTACAGTGAGCTGTGATTGGCCACTGCCCTCTGGACTGGATAAGAAAGCGAGACCCCATCTGTATATGAAAAAAAAAGAAGGGAGTGGGTGCAGTGGCTCAGACCTGTAATCCCAGCACTTTAGGAGTCCGAGGAGGGCAGATCACATGAGGTCAGGAGTTCGAGACCAGCCTGGCCAACATAGTGAACACTGTCTCTACTAAATATACAAAATAAACTGGGTGTGGTGGTGGGCACCTGTAATCCCAGCTACTTGGGAGGCTGAGGCAGGAGAATCACTTGAACCTGGGAGGTGGAGGTTGCAGTGAGCCGAGACTGCACCACTGCACTCCAGCCTGGGCAACAAAGCAAGAGTGACTCAAAAAAAAAAATTGGTATAAATAGGAATGCAGAACTGCCTCTGAGTTGCTGCTCTGGGCACACTGCCTACAGGGTAGCCCTGCTTTGCAAGGAGCAGTACATCTTCTGCTGCTGTGCACTGGCATTTCAGTAAAAGTTGCTGTTTAACACCACCAGCTCACCCTTGAATTCTTTCCTGGGTAATGCCAAGAACCCTCAATTTCCTGTTCTGCATCAGTCTCATGCTCCCAAAAGTTCACCCAATTTTTTTTTTTTCGAGTGGGAGTTTTGCTCTTGTTGCCCAGGCTGGAGTGCAATGGCACAATTTTAGCTCACTGCAACCTCCACCTCAACTGGTCTTGGACATTTGACCTCAGGTGATCTGCAGGCCTTGACTCCAAAAAGTGCTGAGATTACAGGTGTAAACCACCACACCTGGCTGAGTTCTCCCAATTAATGTCAAACAGTGCAGACACCCTGTTGTCATAGCACACCACAGCCCAGAACTGGTTTCCAGCTATTCTCCTGCCTCAGCCTCCTGAGTATGTGGGACTACAGGTGTATGCCACCGGGTCCAACACAAGTGAGGTTTTTGTTTGTTTTGTTTTGCTTGGTTTTGTTTTGTTTAGATGGGGTCTTGCTCTGTTTCCCAGGCTGGAGTGCAGTGGTGCAATCTCAGCTCACTGCAACCTCCACCTCCTGGATTCAAGCAATCCTTCTACCTCAGCCTCCCAAATAGCTAGGATTACAAACATGTGTCACCACACTCAGCTATTTTTAGCAGAGACAGGGTTTCACCATGTTAGTATTTTTAATGGAGATGGGGTTTCACCATATTGGCCAGGCTGGTCCCAAACTTTTGACCGCAAGTGATCTGCCTGCCTCAGCCTCCCAAAGTGCTGGGATTACAGGTGTGAGCCACCTGCCTGGCCTAGTCAAAATTTTAACACCTAATTCAGGCACCGAGTGTTCATCTGTGCTAGATAATAGGTAATAAACATGCACAAGGTAGTATCTGCCTTCAATGTGTTTACAGTCTGTGTTTTGCTGTGTTGGGATGTGGTATAGACTCCTGATCTGACCTCACCAATGGTTACTAATGATATATAACCAATAAGTAGATAACAAAATTTTCCATGTTTTTCAAATTGAAGTTTAGTTTTCCTACACCACTAACCTGAATATTCTCCTGAATATCCTTTCTTCTCTAGTGCCTTTACTCTTCAATTGATCCATTAGAGCCAAATATGACTATTTTCTTTACATTTGCCTTTGCTCTTAACCCTTTAGCAGAGGCAGAGCCACAGCATTCTTGGACTTTCATGATAAGGCAGATAGATTAAGATCTTGATTTAAATAAAATGGACAAGTGTCTTCTTCTCCTGAGCCTCAAAAGAGGAGTTTAACCTTGAGGTACTGATCTAAGTATGTGGATGAGAAGTGTTAGTAAAGGTAACTGAGGCCAGGTGTGGTGGTTCACGCCTCTAATACCAGCACTTTGGGAGGCTGAGGCGGGCAGATTGCTTGTGCCCAGGAGTTTGAGACCAGCCTGGATAACATGGCAAAAACCCATCTCTACAAAAAATGCCAAAAAATTAGCCAGGCGTGGTGGTGTGTGCTTGTAGTCCCAGCTACTTGGGAGGCTGAGGTGGGAGGATTGCTTGAGTCTGCGAGGTTGAGGCTGCAGTGAGCTGAGATTGCGTCACTGCCCTCCAATCTGGGCAACAGAGGGAGACCCTGTCTCTATATACATACATACATACATACATACATACAATTGGCTTGATATCCAGAGACCTAAGTTATAGTCCCAGTTCAGCCACTAATCTGAGAATGGTTAACATTTATTGAAAATTTACAATGTGCCAGTCACTTTTTAAATTAATTTGCTATGCTGTAAGTAGGAGCATATTATTATTATTTTCATTTTACAGACAAGTACATGGAGGCACAGAGCACTTAAATAACTGGCAAATCATACAGTTAGGGACACAGAGTCCAGCTGTGCCACAGAGACAGTCTGGCTGGTAGTACTTCCTGATAACAGAAGCTTTTCATTGCTAACATAATATGTGGCAGGTTGTGTACTATGTGTTTTTGTTGTTTGTTTTTTTGAGACAGGGTCTCATTCTGTGGCACAATGATCATGGTTCACTGCAACCTCGACCTCCTGAGCTCAAATAATCCTCCCGCCTCTGCCTCCTGAGTAGCTGGGACTACAGTTTTAAAAATTTTCTTTAGACTGAAACATCATTGTGGTAAAGATAAAAAAGAAAAAATATTCTGGTAGAGATGGGATCTCACTGTCGTCCAGGTTGGTCTCAAAATTTTGATCTCAAGCCATCCTCCTGCCTTGGCCTCCGGAAGTGCTAGGATTACAGGGTGAGTCACCATGCCTGGCCTGTACTGTTTTTCTGGCAATGTTATCTCATTCAATCTTTGTGAATAACCGTAAGGTAGATATAATACCAGTTTTTCAGGTGAAAAAACTAATTGGCAGAATGAAACTCTGAAAACACCTGTGGCTCCAAAAGCTTCTGGAAACCTCGAGATACACATGTGCATTTTGAGCCTCAGTTTCCCTATCTTTAAAATGAGCAGTTTGGAGTAGATGTCTGTTCTCTGGGGGAGGATGCAGAGGAAAGTGCTGTCTGTGGATGGGGGAGAGAGAAGGAGGGGTAATTACAGTCAAACCACAGTGACAGAGAGTCCAGCATAACCGGGGTGTATGCGGTTACAAATGCCGGTAAGATTGCTGCCAAGGCGGAGGACGGGAGTGTCAGAGCCGAGCGAGGCCTGTGGGCGAGAATGGGCCTGACAGCCCTTCTCCGACCCGCGTGGGCGCTGCAGGCGCAGGCCAGCGGCCAAGGGAGAGGCGATCCCTGCGGCTCTGCTTGGGTCTCGAGACAACACCTCACCCGCCCAAGTCCTGCTCCACAGGCTTCTCCGGGAAAGCTAGGGAAGGAAGAGGCGCGGCCTCCCCAGCCCGCATCTCAGAGCGCCACGTCCCTCCTGGCTCAGCCTCCCCTCAAGCTCCATGGCTTTTGCGCTCCCCATCGCCCGCCTCCAGGTTCGCTGGCGTGGCCTCGTCCCCGCTCCCGCCAATCGGCGTCCTCGCGATCCCGAGCCGGACCAATCAGCGGCCGTGGGGGCTGGGAACTGTCGCCATGGCAGCCAGGAGGCGGGCGCGCGCGGCGGGAGGAGGGGCAGAGTGGAACGGTGGGCTAGGGGCCCGAGCACAGGTCTGTGCGCTGGAAGCTAGCAGACGGCGCAACCTCGCGCTCCGAGACCCGGCCAGGTAAGGCCGGTGGCTGCGAGGTGGGTGCGAAGCAGCGTGGCAGGAGGCTGAAGGTGGCAGGTGGTGGGGAGCGGTCCAGAGATAAGGCTCAAGTCTTCGCCTGCCTTGCCAGGGCAGTAAGGATGGCGGGGGCCGTGCAGTGGGCGGGCACCGGAGGGAAGGGGGCTCCCATCCCGAGCCCGAGGCGCGGGGTTCTCTCTGCTCCACTCGCAGCAGTGCACCCAAGCTTTCTTTGGGGTCGAGGGGGGTGGCTTGCTCTTGGCGGGGAGCAGGAGAGGGTAATACTGAACCGAGACCCAGGCGGGGTCCCGCCGGGTCTGGGCAGGTCGTTGGGCGAGGGGGTGCCCACTAGTGAGGAGGGACACCTACCAATTCCAGGCGATGCTCGCCTGCGCCGCAGAGCAAAGCTAGGCCCGGGGATCCTGCTCTTCTCCTGTCTGGTTAAGCTGGCAACCTCTGTCACTTAGGAGAAAGTTAGTGCCAGTTCTGATATCCTTTTCCCTTAAGTGACAAATTGGGTGCGGGATGAGCCTTTTTGGTTTTAGGAGATGAGAAAGAGAGTACTTCCTCCTTGCACCTGCTAAGTGGTAACTCCGTGAGAAAATGCGGTTATTGTGGTTGGTGTTGGCAACGGTCTTAGATGGCAATTATTTTACAGTATCAAAGGGCTAGGAGAGAGAGGGAAAGGGAGTGAGAAAGAGAGAATATAAAGGAATGAGAATGAACGGGAACTATTATTATGATTTTTGGGAGACAGAACCTCTTGAAATTCTGTGTCCACTAAACTCCTAAATTGAATAATGTACATTTAATGCAATTGAATAAGCTAGTGCTACCATCTAAGCCTACTACTAAGGCTCTGTTAAATCCATGGACGAATATGAACACTAAAAGATATTACCTTGGTTTAAAAATAAGGGCAGGTTAAATGCAAATATTTCTGATAGCGAATTTTGTTTGAGGGAGATTGTGGACTTTCCCTATAGGAAAGTTTAAAGAATTGATGAGATAGATGCTTTAAGGAATGTTCTTATGTTTTGAAACTTGAACAAACAAATATTTCAACAAATCTTCCTCAGCTAATAGGGTCAAAAATTGAAATAAAATTCGGGAAACGTAGAATTAGAAATGAAATCTCAAATAACATCACTCTCATTATTAGGATGAACCTGGAAACTTCCATTTCTCATTGTGGTCTTCGAGCTCTTCAGGATCTGACCTACCTTTGTAGTAAGGGGTCAAAAACATTTTTTTAACTAGACAATTATAGAAATTTAAAGGAGTCAAAAATTCATTTCTGTTTCCATGTATTTACTTATGCCCTTCTCTGTCTATCCAAATTTTACTCAACTTCTTTTTTTGAGACAGAGTTTCACTCTTGTTGCCTAGGCTGGAGTGCAATGGCATGATCTTACCTCACTGCAACCTCTGCCTCCCGGGGTCAAGTGATTCTCCTGCCTCAGCCAATTGAGTAGCTGGGATTACAGGGGCCCACCACCACACCCAGCTAATTTTTTTTTGTATTTTTAGTAGAGACAGGATTTCACTATATTGGCCCAGGCTGGTCTCAAACTCCTGACCTCTGGTGATCCACCTGCCTTGGCCTCCCAAAGTTCTGGGATTACAGGCGTGAGCCACCATACCTGGTCAACCTCTCTTCTATATTGAATCTATCTGTGTTGTGTTTACCTTTCTTTGCTCTCCCAAGGTATATATTATTCATATCACATATTTTGTATATATCCTTTCAGCATGCTTTTTGCCAAGTTGGTTTGTCCTCTGTGAATAACAGTGGAGATAATATGCACAATTAAAACAATTAGGGTACTTTTCAAAACACAATTAGTTATGGGCACTAATATCAATAATATCCATTCAGATGTCTTTTTTGTTTTGGGATGTGTTATGAATCTCTGTACACATACTAAACTAATTTTGTGTTACTTAGAATAATATTGAAATTGCTTTTCACTTCCTAAGGATGCTTTTGAAGATGGGGGTTTACAAAATACCATTTTGAGTATTGGATAGCTGGCAGAATCAAGTGCAGGATTTATAAATGTATTGAAAATAATCCTTTAGTCTGGTCACAGTGGCTAATGCCTGTAATCCCAGCACTTTGGGAGGCTGAGGTGGGTGGATCACTTGAATCCAGGAGTTTGAGACCAGTCTGGCCAACACAGTGAAACTCTGTCTCTACTAAAAATACAAAAATTAGCTGGGCATGGTGGCACACATCCATAATTCCAGCTACTTGGGAGCCTGAGGCAGGAGAATGGTTTGAACCCGGGAGGCAGAGGTTTCACTTAGCGGAGATCATACCACTGTACTCCAGCCTGGGCAAGAGAGCAAGACTCCATCAAAAAAAAAATCCTTTAAATGATAATCTTTGAAGTATTGTGAATAATTAAGTTGATTATATTTGGCATAACAGATTATTAACTTTTTCTATATAATTAAAGGTCTCAAAAGGGACAGTTTATTATTTTTATGCTTAATATATGCAATTAGTTTATAAACTTTAAAAAACAGGTTCCTGGGCTGGGCCCGGTGGCTCACACCTGTAGTTCCAGCACTTTGGGAGGCCGAGGCAGGTGGCTCACCTGAGGTCAGGAGTTTGAGACCAGCCTGGCCAACAGTAAAACCCCGTCTCTACTTAAAATACAAAAATTAGTCGGATATGGTGGCAGGTGCCTGTAATCCCAGTTACTCGGGAGGCTGAAGCAGGGGAATCACTTGAACCTGGGAAATGGAGGTTGCAGTGAGCTGAGATCACGCCCTTGCACTCCAGTCTGGGCAACAAAAGGGAAACTTGGTATCAAAACAAAACAGAACAAGACAAAAAAAAAAAAAAGCAGGCTCCTAACAATTTCAAATAATTTATTCAAGGAAAAACCTCAATCACTTTATTTTCAATCAAAAAAATGTTTTATAACTCTGATGTGGTAAAAAATATACTTACTTAGAATTTCATGGCCAGATTCCAGTTTTGGCTCTGTCAAGTGATCTTGTCCGGTCAGTTAACTTCCTTCTGTATTTATAACCTTTTATAAAAGTAGGGCTGAATTAGGTTACGGTAGTCCACCTTTGTCCTAGAAGCATATGTTCCAAGGGTCTCAATGGATGCCTGAAACTACAGATAGTACCAAGCCTTATATACTCTGTTTTTTGCTATACATATATAATAATAAAATATATATAATAATACACTGTAATGAAAGTTCTATGAATGTGATCTTTCAAAATATCTTATACCTCAGGTAACTGAAACTGTAGAAAGCTATATTGAAGATTAGGGAGGACTACATATCTCCAAGATCATTTCTGATCTTAGAATTCTTTGATTCTAAAATTGTAAAGCAGCCTAATAGAAGTTCAGATAGCAGTTACTTGGTTTTATTTTTGGCAGAGCTACTTTTTTTTTTGACAGGACCTCACTCTGTTGCCCAGGCTGACTGGACTGCAGTGGTGTGATCATGGCTCACTGCAGCCTGGAACTGCCGGGCTCAGGTGATCCTCCTACCTCAGCCTCCTGAATAGCTAGGACTACAGGTGCATGCCACCACACCTTGCTAATTTTCAAATATTTATTTTATAGATAAGAGGCCTTGCCATGTTGCCCAGGCTGGTCTCAAATTTCTAGGCTCAAGTGATCTGCCTGCCTGGGCTGTGAGCCACTGCACCCAGCCCAGGAGCCTGTTTTTTAAAGTTTATAAACTAATTGCATATATTTAACATAAAAATAACACATTTTTCCTTTTCAGACCTTTAATTGTATAGAAAAAGTTAATATCAAGAGATTATTTTGGATACATTTCTTTCATTGGTTTATAACTGCATCAGGACTTTGGTTCTGGCAATGTTCAGAGAAGAGCCCTAATGTGGCCTTTGAAAAATGACTTTAAGCCTGGGCATGGTGGCTCCTGCCAGTAATCCTAGGACTTTGGAGGGTCAAGGCAGGCAGATCACTTGAGCTCAGGGGTTTGAGACCAGCGTGGGCAACATAGTGAAATCCCATCTCTACGAAAAATATAAAAACTAGCCAGATGTGGTGGTGTGTGCTTGTAGTCCCAGCTACTCAGGAGGCTCAGGTAGAAGGATGGCTTGAGCCTGGGAGTTGGACGTTGTAATGAGCCAAGATTGCGACACCACAATCCAGCCTGGGTGAGAGACTCAGACCCTGTCTCAAAAAAAAAAAAAAAAAAAAAAGATTTTTAAAGTTGTGTGTCAAACTGGTCGTCCCTTTTGTTTTGTTTTATTTTGTTAATTTTTTTCTTTTCTAGACAGGGGCTTTCTCTGTTGCCCAGGCTGGAGTACAGTGGTGTGAATGGCTTACTGCAGCCTCGACCTCCTGGGCTCAAGCAATCCTTCCACCTCAGCTTCCTGAGTAGCTGGGACTACAGGTACACACTACCACACCCAGATAATTTTTTGATTTTTTTGTAGAGGCCAGGTTTCACCATGTTGCCCAGGCTTGTTTCAAACTCCTGGGCTCAAGCAATCCACCTGCCTTAGCCTTTCAAAGTGCTGGGGTTATAGGTATGAGCCACCACACCCAGCCTGGTCTTGCTTTTTAAGTTCTACCACTTTGGGTATTTACAGAATAGATTTTCATATTTCTCTATGTTTTATTTTCAAGACAAGAAGGGCATTAATATTTATTGAGCAATTGCCATTGTCATGTACTGTGCTAGTTACTTTATATTCATTCTTATTTTCCTCCCATCAATGAACCTGTGAAGAAGTATGAGTTCAATTTTATAGGTAGGAAAATCAAGACTCAGAGGCAAGTAGCTTGCGAGTAAATGGGAGAAGTTAGGATTTAATTGCTGTTTGTGTGTCTATTTTTTACCATGTTGTGTCAATAAAAGTCATATACTTTTCCAAAATACAACATGCATATCATTACTCTCCTGCATAGATTATTTTATGTTAAATATACCATATAAAAAAAGAAATATGGCCAGGCGCGGTGGCTCACGCCTGTAATCCCAGCACTTTGGAGGCTGAGGTGGGTGGATCATGAGGTCAAGAGATCGAGACCATCCTGGCCAACATGGTGAAACCCTGTCTGTACTAAAAATACAAAAAATTGGCCAGGCGTGGTAGCACATGCCTGTAATCCCAGCTACTTGGGAGGCTGAGACAGGAGAATCACTTGAACCCAGGAGGTGGAGGTTGTGGTGAGCCGAGAATGCATGCACCATTGCACTCCAGCCTGGGCAACAAGAGTGAAACTCCATCTCAAAAAAAAAAAAAAAAAAGAAAAGAAAAGAAATACATGTGTTCTTGACATTTGAAAATATTTTATTTGCCTTTTTTTTTTTTAAACAGACTACTTAGAAATAACTGCTATGTTCACTAATGAGTTTACACATGAGCTGCTTTGTATTTTACATGTTACTTGATGGGGTTTCAAGAAAGAATTTTGAGATATTTCATCTATTACTGATCTCTGACAAACTGGGAACAAAGTTAATTTTTTTAAAGTGGTGGTAAGAGTAAAGAAAAATTCCAGTTAAGGATTTAACAGGAAAAGTTGCCCTATATTTTGAAGTCTCATTGCTGAAAAAATAAGCTTTTAATCTGAATTCCTATTAGTTATTCAAGAGGGGAGGAATACAGTAAAATTTGGGCATAATAAATCAGTATCTTTTTTTTATTTCCAAGACAGAGTCTCGCTTTGTTGTCCAGGCTGGAGTGCAGTGGCATCATTTTGGTTCACTGCAACCTCCACTTACCGGATTCAAGTGATTCTTGTGCCTAAACCTCTTGAGTAGCTGGAACTACAGATACCTGCCACTACATCTAGCTAATTTTGTATTTTTTTTTTTTAGGAGAGACAGGGTTTCACTATGTTGGGCAGGCTGATCTTGAATTCCTGACCTCAGGGGATCTGTCTACTTTGGACTCCCAAACTGCTGGGATTACAGGCATGAGCCACCTCTCCCAGCCAGTATCTTCTGGTTTTTGATTCTGTTATTTCATGTATCTTTCTCCCCTCCTTACTGGAATATGATATAATTTAGTCTCCTTACACATCATAAAAATTTGGCACTTGTCACATTATGTGACGAATGCATACACTATCGTGTACCATCACCACTGTAAAAAGGCTAACTTCTATAATTTTGTGTCTTTTATTTATTTTTATTTGTTATTTGTTTATATTTAGAACCTGTTACGAGTCAGTTTTTAGTGAGAAAACACTGGGCTAGGAGCCAAGACCCATCTCTTCACTATTTTGGTATTGTGCAAGTCATCTTATCTCTTTGGATCTCACTTGACTCATCTGTAAAAAGGAGATAAAAATTAGTTACCTGCCTGAACGTAAGTACTCAGTTAAGAATTGCATTTGGTTGCAAAGCAAAATGACTACCACTACCACCACCACCAAAATACAAAAAAGGAAAAACCAAAAATTGACTTAAAAATGGCTTAAACATGCAATATTTATTTTCTTAAAGCACTGGAAATAGCACTCTAGGATGGGTATAGTGGCTTTATAGAGTCATCAGAGACTTAAGCTTCTTTCAGTTCTTTTATCAATGATTCCCTAAAATGTTCTTGTAGTACTGGTTCTTGTAAGGCCAAGATAGCTGCCAGAGCTCTAGCCTTCACTGCCACGTTCCAGGCAGCAAAGCATAGACAAAGAAGGATGCATCCTCTTCCTTTAAGGAGAACTCCTGAACCAAGTCTGAGGCTATAAGGAAGCAGGGAAATGTAGCTGAATGCATGGCTGCCCTCTATAAAATTGGGCTTTTGTTACTGAGGAGAAAGGAAAGATTTGGCGCTGGGCAGGGTGGCTCATGCCTGTAATCCTAGCACTTTGGGAGGCCGAGGTGGGTGGATCACCTGAGGTAAGGAGTTCAAGACCAGCCTGGCCATCATGGTGAAACCCCATCTTTAAAAATAAATAATAAATAAATGAAAATAAAGAAAGGAAAGATTTGGATAAACAAATAGAAGTCTCTGCTACAATATGAATCTTTTTATCTTTCAACTCTGAAATCTGTAAGCCATGATAACCACTTATAGAAGCTTCTGTAATTTGCCATGGCAGAGATTTAAGTCTGACTGTTAACTACAGAAGGAAATAATCTTCATCTAATAAATTGTGTTTCTGTTTTTACTTTTAGTCCTTAATTCATTATAGAAACCTTTCTGTCCTGTTTGTGGATTTGTTCTGGTTATTTAAAAGAATTACCCATAAATGCTCAATAGACGTTTGTTGTACATTTATGGTTGTGTTAAAAAGAGCTAACATTTATTGAGCTACTTGCTGTAAAGAAGGCACTAAATGACAGAGATACGTTATCCCAAGGGCATCACATAACTAATCATCAGGAAGTAAATTTATGTTGAAAGTAAATGTAATTCATCTCAAGATGCATTTCACTAACACTTGCCTTTCTTGATAGTTTGTTCTTTTTGTTCTTTTTTTTTTTGAGATGGAATCTTGCTCTGTCACCAGGCTAGAGTGTAGTGGCGTAATCTTGGCTTACTGCAAGCTCTGCCTTCTGGGTTCAAGTGATTCTCCTGCCTCAGCCTCCAAGTAGCTGGGACTACAGGCATGCACCACCACGCCTAGCTAATTTTTGTATTTTTTAGTAGAGATGGGGTTTCTTGTTGGCCAGGTTGGTCTCCATCTCTTGACCTTGTGATCCGCCCACCTCAGCCTCCCAAAAGTGCTGGGATTACAGGCATGAGCCACCATGCCCAGCCCCTTCCTTTTTTTTTTTTTTTTAACCGCTTAACTGTTAGTTGTCTTGAAATTTTCTCTTTGCACATAGGTTTTGCAAGAAAAAAAAAAGATATTTACTGCTAGTTCTTGCTTAACTTATTTAGCCACACCAATATTTTATTTCCTTCCAGACTTCCTTCTTTTTTTTTTTTTTTTGAGGTAGAGTCTTGCTCTTTCACCCAGGCTGGAGGACAATGGTGCAATCTTGGCTTGCTGCAACCTCTGCCTCCCAGGTTCAAATGATTCTCCTGCCTCAGCCTCCCAAGTAGCTGGGATCACAGGAACACATGACCACACCCAGCTAATTTTTGTATTTTTAATAGAGACAGGGTCTCACCATGTTGGCCAGGCTGATCTTGAACTCCTGACTTCAAGTGATCTGCCAGCCTTGGCCTCCCAAAGGCTGAGATTACAGGCATGAGCCATTGCACCCGCCCCATTTCAGACTTTTCTTTGTGAATATTATAAAAATATACCCTATACTTGGCATGCAAAATGATTCATTTGTCATTTTTATTTCATAAAGTAAACTGAAATAAATAGCATCGAGAAAAAGAAATTCAGGGAATGAAATTAGAGTGAGAAAGAGTCTAAAGATTCAGTCAATCTTTAAGAGTTTCTAGAAGGGAGATAGGGAACAAGTTAAAATTTTATTTCTGCACAGTATGTTTGTAGTTTTGAAAGTTTTTACATTTTTTTGGTTGTATTATGTAGGCACAAAGTACAGTAATTCTTTTGCTGTTAGTGCTTCAGTTTCCTTTTTTCTGATCTAGACTCGTTCACCTCAAATAAACCAAAGAATCAGGGGCCTTGTGACCATAAAAACAGCCCAGTTTTAGCTGGGCGCAGTGGCTCACACCTGTAATCCCAGCAGTTTGGGAGGCTGAGGCAGGCAGATCATGAGGTCAGGAGTTCGAGACCAGTCTGACCAATATAATGAAACCCTGTCTTAACTAAAAATACAAAAAATTAGCTGGGTATGGTGGTGTGCACCTGTGATCCCAGTTACTTGGGAAGCTGAGGCAGGAGAATTGCGTGAACCCTGGAGGTTGCAGTGAGCCGAGACTGCACCATTGCACTCTGGCCTCGGCAACAGAGCAAGACTCTGTCTCAAAAAAAAAAAAAAAAAAAAAAGCCCAGTTTTGTTTTTAAGATATATTTAACATTATAAACCTCATGACTCAGAATGTCTGTTTGGTGAATACCATTTTCATGACTTTTCATTTTTTTTTATTTACAGAAAAGGATCATGCTATACATTGTTTTAGAAGCAGCATTTTAAAAATTGCAATTGTATTTAATAGCTTATCTTCCTTACTAGATTGAAGCCCTGTCAGGGTAAGGACTATGTCGATCTCACTTACCTTTGTCTTCTAACATAATATATGGTACCATAGTTGGTAACTAATACATAAATATTAGTTCAGTTTAGTTTTTAGAAATAAAGTCTTAATACATACATAGATACATACTTATAATAACTTAAAGGAAACATTCTTCAATTCAACTTTTAATTGAAAAGGAAGAGGGGCAAAAGAGGACAGCTGAGGAAGGTGGAAAAAGATACCTAAAGGAGGAACAGAAACTACTGTCAAGGAAAGAGAACGTTTTCAGTTTTCTATACTCTTTTCACCTCTGTTATCTGTGATAATTATTTTTAACCACTTACAGGATATCTTGCTCAACAGTCAAAACAGGAAACCATCATACACACACACACACACACATACACAACAAGCAAACCTAAGTCTGTGTAACTACTGGTATAAGGCAGTAGCTAAGAAATCTGCCTCTGTGTTTGAATGGAAATTTTATTTTTGAGACATGTTCTCACTCTGTCACCCTGGCTAGAGTGCTGTGGAGTAACTACGGCTCACTGCAGCTTCAACCTGCCAGGCTCAAGTGATCCTCCCACTTCATCCCCCACCAAGTAGCTGGGACTACAGGCATGTGCCACCATGCCAAACTAATTTTTGTATTTTTTTGTGGAGACGGGGTTTCAACATGTTGCTCAGGCTGCTTTTGAACTCCTGGCTCAAGGAATCCGCCCTCCTTGTCCTCACAAAGTGCTGAGATTATAGGCATGAACCATCGTGACCAGCAGAATAGAAATTTTGACTTGGTTGAGATAGGGGAAGAAAGATTAGCTTTCTTTTAGGACTTGAAAATTTAGGGAAATTATATCTACTGAATACTAAGAGAACTTTTAAAAACTCTGCCTACTTTGTAATTTTGCCTGAGGGTCAGTACCTCCCATTCTGTCTTGAGATGACTACATGATATAGAATTTCATACCATCCTACTTTAGAAAGTAAATTACCAGCCCCTCCTAGTTTGGATACTGTTTCAGCCTAGTTCAGCCCAGTATCTCTTCTTCAGGTCTGTATCTTTCTTAGGAAAGAAGAGGGTGATAAAGGAAAGAAGAAGGCCATTCTTACTGACCTGATAGTGGTAGAAAAGTAGGTTAGGCCCCCCTCTTCTTCCCTAGGCCTGTCCTTATCACTCATCTCTCTTTCTTTTATATGGATATTTGTATATTTTCCTGTTCATGAAAATCTGTAAATCTAGTAAACTTGCTGTTATTCCTTTAATGCAGACACATTTGACATCTTGGCATTTAAAGAGATTTTTGTGTAATTACTTTTCTGCCTAATGTGCTAGAATACTTACCATTCCTTTTTAAAAAAATAATAACAGTTGATGGTTACTGAGGCATTATTAAGAAGCAGAGTAAATGTTTAAATTAATTGTCCTAATTATGTCTAGAATAAACACTAAGATATTAGAAACTAGTAGAGGAGGAAGAGTATATTAAAAACATTCTCCATCAATCAAAAATAAATAAAAAAGGTGAGAAAGGAGAGGAAATAAATGTCAAAGAGGCAGAATGAATAGAAAGCCCTCCAGCCTGAGCAACATAATGAAATCCCATCTCTGCCAAAAAAAAAAAGAAAAATGACCATTCATGGTGGTTTGCTTGTGGTCCCAGCTGAGGTAGGAGGATCTTTGGAGCCCAGGAAATCAAACTTGCAGTGAGCTGTGAGCTCACCACTGTACTTCAGCCTAGGTGGCAGAATGAGAACCTATCTCAAAAAAGCAAAAAAGCCATATGATTTAAAACTCAAGATATGGTATTAAGGCCGGGCACAGTGGCTCATGCCTGTAATCCCAGCACTTTGGGAGGCAGAGGCGGGCAGATTGGTTGAAGTTAGGAGTTCAAGACCAGCCCCAACATGATGAAACCCCGTCACTATTAAAAATACAAAAAATTAGTCAGGCGTGGTGGTGCATGCCTGTATTCCTAGCTACTCAGGAGGCTGAGGCAGGAGAATTGCCTGAACCTGGAGGTGAAGGTTTCAGTGTGCCAAGATTGCACCACTGCATTCCAGCTTGGGCTACAGAGTGAAACTCCATCTCAAAAAAACAAAACAAAACAGGTATGTTATTAAGTAGGCTTTCAGGGCCAGGTTTGGTGGCTCACTCCTGTGATCTCAGCACTTTCAGAGGCTGAGGTGGGCAGATCACTTGAGGTCAGGAGTCCGAGACCAGCCTGGCCAACATGGTAAAACCCTGTCTCTACTAGAAA